TGGACAAGAATCTGGTAAGGCAGAAGCTCTGGGCTGACCTGGGAAGGGAAGAGGGGGAGACGAATTGCGGGTGGCAAGGGGCAGGGCAGGGTTGGAACCCTGCCTGGGCTGAGGCAGGGCAGGAGGCGGTGAGAGTGGGTTGGGGAGGGGAGCGCTGTGCGCTGGGCTGAGGCAGGGCAGGAGGCGGTGGGAGCAGCACCAAGGTCGTGGCCTTTCTCGCAGGTGACACAGCTGGACTCGGCCTTCATCCGCAAGGACCCGTACGGGGTGGTGCTCATCATCGCGCCCTGGAACTACCCCATCCACCTCTTCCTGGTGCCCCTCATCGGGGCCATCGCTGCCGGTGAGCCGAACCCGTCCCCTGGCCCAGAGGCTCCAGGCAGTGCCAGGCACCGGCGAGGGGGTCTGGCCAGGGGCCTCGTCCCCTGGCTGGGGTGCCAGAGGGGCTGGCTGTCACCATGTCGCTGCTCTGATGTCCCGTCGATCTCCCCCCAGGTAACTGTGTTGTTTTCAAACCCTCGGAGACGACCAAGAACACCGAGAGACTTGTTGCTGAAATGCTGACCTGCTACCTGGACAATGTAAGAAGCTCTCCCTGTCCTCGTCCCTGTCCCTGCCGCAGGGCCACGGTGTTCCCAACCCTGCCTTGCACACACGGGCGCCGCACCATCCCTGGTTTCAGGTGCTGCCGTACCTCCTTCCTCCACGCTCAGCCAGTGTCCACGTGCCCAGCAGCCCGGGATGCTGTTGGTGGGGACAGGGACAGAGCGGCCCGGGCGGACGCTGACAGAGGTGGACCCTTCCTCTTATGTTGCAGGACTGCTTTGCCGTGGTGACCGCCGGCGTGCAGGAGACCACCAGGCTGCTGGAGAACAAGTTTGACTACATCTTCTACTTGTGTTGGGGATCTGGTGTCGGGATCTGTTGGAGGATCTGGGATGTGTGTGTCTGAGGGTCTGGTGGGACTTGGCGCGTTTGCCCTGGACCTGGCTCCCCAGAGTGCCACGTCCCAGAGCTGTGCCGTAGCTGGTGGGATCCCTGCCGTGATGCATCTCTTCCCTGCCCTCAGGCAGCACCTCCGTGGGGAAGATCGTGATGGCAGCCGCTGCCAAGCACCTGACGCCCGTGACGCTGGAGCTGGGGGGCAAGAACCCCTGCTACGTGTCCGACACCTGCGACGTGCAGAACGTGGCCCGGCGGGTGGCCTGGGGCCGCTTCTTCAACGCGGGGCAGACCTGCATCGCGCCCGACTACGTGCTGTGCAGCGTGGAGATGCAGGAGAAGCTGATGCCCGCCCTGCGCGAGGCCATCACTGAGTTTTTTGGCTCCAACCCCCAGGAATCCCCCGACTTCGGCCGCATCGTGGGGGATAAGCAGTTCCGCCGCATCCGGGCGCTGCTGTGCAGCGGGCGCGTGGCCATCGGAGGACAGGCGGACGAGAAGGAGCGCTACATCGGTGAGGGCACGGGGCCCCGGGGCTTGTGGGACCACCCGTGCCCGCGCACTGAGTGATGCGTTGCCGTAACCTTTCTCCGCAGCTCCCACGGTGCTGGCGGACGTGCTGCCCTCTGATCCTGCCATGCAGGAGGAGATCTTCGGGCCCATCCTGCCCATCGTTGTTGTGGCCAACATGGACGAAGCCATTGACTTCATCAATGCGCGGCCGCGGCCGTTGGCCATCTACGCCTTCTCCTGTGACAGCAAGGTGCCTGTGGTCCATGGACCAGAAAGGGGGGGTGTGTGTGTGAGGGAAATGGGGCAGAAAGGCTCGTGCCCACCTTGCCGACACCCCAGGGCGTGCTCTGAAAAGTCTTTTGAGCCCAGCTGCTCTGGGCACAGGGGGCCGATGGATGAGCTGGGTGATGTTTGACAAGCGTTGCCCGCGGAGCCAGGGTGCGGGACCCACGTCCACCTTCTCTGCTTCCCTCCCAGGTGGTGAACCAGGTCCTGGAGCGGACGAGCAGCGGTGGCTTCTGCGGCAACGACACCCTGATGCACGTGACGTTGACCTCGCTGCCCTTCGGTGGGATCGGTAGGTCCAAATCCCCCAACCTGCCCGC